TACTTTTTAAATGTTTTAATCCTTTCAGCTGTTTTATCTTGTGTGCCGTTAAATTGATATGTCTAATTGTCATTTGTCTTTTATATTCAATTTCACTGTTCCGTTTGAAATTTTATCTTGATGACAGACAACTTTTACTTAATTTTACTGACTGGCCACTATTACCCTTTTAGAGTCCCGATGATGGCTTAAATAAAGCCAAAACGTCTTTTTCTGCCACTATCTATAGACTGATCAACCCCAATCAACCCCAATCACGACTTAAATTAAATTACCTTTTTCTTTCAGCGGAGAAATCGTCAGTCTATCGTTGGTTGACAGTGGATCCACTTCTATTTCTGATCTGTTTATAATATTATCATAGTCAAGAACCTGTTTATTTACGACTACGTCGGCTCTGATAACATCTTCGAAGTCAATTAGACCATTCTGCATGGGTATTTCTTCAGCCTCAGTGGTATCTGGTTCGATTCGACTGACTGAGACCTGTGACGACCGAGTGCTGTTTCGTCTGGGATGGCCTTTATTGTTACGCATAACTTGGGTTTCTTTAACATCGGTCAGGTCCTCTTCAACATCGTACTCCTCGTCATCAGAATGGTGACGATTTACGTTTAATTCCTCCTCGTCCTCATAGTCAAAATCCTCACAAAATACTGGTCGTTTTCGCTGTCGGAGTGTGTACCTTTTGGGGGCTGGTGATGATGGGGCACTGTCTAAGTCCAAGTCACTTTCGCTCTCAATTTCATCACTATCGTACAGTTTTCGCGACTTACGTCTCGCTGATGTTGTTCTGGACCTTTTTCTTACCATTTTAAAACATCCAGTTCTGTAACAAAATGTCAAACCCGTTTTCAGGTTAAATCTTGTTTACTGTCAAGAAAATAGAAAAAATTATAATTCTTAACGCCAAAGGGAAAAATGTAGTCGTAATTGGGGACATCTGACGTATTCATTTAGAACCTTCCAAGCGATGGCTACAAACGCCATGTTATGAAGAGGTGCCAATCATAACCCCCCCAGTCTGCCAAATCTAGAATTTTACAATGCCGAAAAACTATTTGATAGTATAATTTTCAATTTGTCCTTGTAATTTTTTATGCAATTATTTATACTTCGACTGAAATATAAATCTGGCACACGTTATTAAATCGTATAGTTATGGAATCAATATAAATAGCATTACAAGTTTGCACATGGGGGGTCCTGAATAATGTCTTCAAACTTGTGGGGTTTTGCACAAAACACTGATGCCCGGACTTTTGGTTAAATAAGTAACTACTACTAAAATTTAATAATCAAATTCAATAAAATTATGTTTAATTCGATTTTCTAAACTATAAGTACTTAGAAAAATAGAAAGTTTACAACAAAAAATAGACAAAATTAGTTCTGTACAAGATGTGGAAGTCTTCGTCATTTTCTAAGCAGCACCATTCATCATTCTGATCCTCTTGTTCTTCCTCTGGAACCGCGAGAACATTTTCGTCAATTACAATTTTTGTAATTAAGCTTTCATATTCTTTCCAGTTTGCGCCATACAGAATACATCATAGTTCATCTACGTCTTTCTTCTTTGCAACACTAATTCGATGAATGAGAGGGATTTTGTTAAGAGGAGTCTTAAATTGGTTTTAAAATTACGGATGAATAGAAGAAAAACCCTGAATAAAATGGCATTTGATTTTCGGATCGTAATCAGGTATGGTCCAAATATTCAGAAATAAAAAAAAATCCGTAATAAAATTGATTCCATTCCAAGTTTTCACTGGCGTCTACGCAGCGGCCTTACACAACTGATCGAGGAGTGTGGGTCAAAAAGTACTTTTGGCGAGTCGAGCGTTGTTGCCATACCCGCCATAAATTCGTTCAAGTACCAATTAGGAAATCGTTAGATCCAGATTGTCAACATGCAGACGTAAAGGTTAACTTATTCAGTCACCAAAGCATCAAGAGCATATTTTATATTATTCAGGTTTTTGGAATTACGCTTTTTTCCATAAAGTACTTTTCGTGCTGTGAGTTCATTGATTGAAAATGGGCTTCTTAAACTAATATGCCACTATTTGTTTTAAAGCAAAATTAATGATCTTCGGAAGAGTAACTGAAATAGTCAAGTCAGTAATGTGAGAGTTCGCATTTTCACTTTTTAAGGGAGTAATCTTTAGTTTTGCTTCAAGCCAAGTATAAAATTTATCGCCACAAACCTTAAACTTTCAAAATGTGCACCATTTCTCTTTTATGCCAGAAACATATGATATAAATTTTACTTTTATTGTAATAATGAATATAGAAACATAAGGGACTATTGCAACTTACTTCGATATACGTCCCCGTCTAGGGTTATCCTTTTGCCACATAAACCCCAATTCCCTTAACAACTTGTGTAGCGAAGTGCGACATCCATGAAACAATTCTTTCCGCTTTAATTCCTCTTGTAATAAAGAAAGAGTCACATGTTGATCTGTTTAAAAATATTTGGTAATTTTTCAGCAGAGCAACCTTTCACCTACGCTGTTAAAACGTTGCTTATTTTATATAGTTTACCCCCATAACTAACACTTCTTCTTAGTGGTGTTTCTTGCACAAATGCGTTTTTGGCAACTGTTTGGAAAAATTAAGGTTTCAAAATCTCCCAGTTTTGCTGTATATCGTTGCTTTTATTTATTTAAAATTGATACCATGCTAACCCAAACTAACGCAACTCCAGGCTCAAACTCGCCAACTTTTTTTCCGTCAAAATGTATTAAAAAAGTGGTGGAAAAACGCATTTGTGCTAGAAATACCACCAAAAAAAAAGTGTTACTAAAGGAATAAAAAATAAGGAAAGCATAGTCTTAATCACGAAAGTGAGAAGGCGCTCTGCTATACGTAAATGACAAATATTTAATTATCTGGATTTAAATTTTAAACTCACGTTTCCCATACAACTCGCAAATAGTATTACGAATCCCGTTGCTATCCAATACATCCGGGTTTGTAATACTCTTAGTTCTTGAACGCTTCCTCTTGGGGGATGTTAAAACTTCGTTGCTTTTGACCCTCGTGGATATTGCGCTTACTGTTGTTTTGCTTAGGCATAAAGCGGCAGCGACCCGCTGCAAAAATTTTCAATATATGTGAGTAAAAACATAATCTCAAATAGGTATATATAATTAATACATTATCTATATATGTAATATATAATATATGCCTTAACAAAACATACTTCTCTCACGGCCGCTAAAGGTAGGAAAGGTCCTTGGTTGTCCCGCTCCTGTTCGAAATATCGAATTAAATTTGCCACAAGTTCCTTGGAACGGCTATCTAATGGCTTGGGCATGATGTGGTCACTTTAAGCGTTCGTATACTTTACAATAAAACTTTATACTATTATTGGAACTCTTGCTTTTGCTGATTATTCTTTATGGGCTAAGACTTTTACTCTCTAAGCTTCAATAAACATTTACATACTCCGTTCACTATAACTATAGTCGCACGTCATCAATGGTCTGTCGAGCGTTGTTGCCATACCCTCCATAAACTATACAGGGTGATTCAAAATTGGCGTCATTCCTCTGGAGGTGTTGTGAAATGAACACTTGAGAAATTTGCAAAAAACTGTATCAGAAATACGGCAGCAATGTTTTTCAAGGTAATCTGCCTAATTAGCATTGCGCAAATACCTGTGGCTTCGTAATTATTTAAAACTCCGGTAGCCATGGAATTATACAGACTAACGATGAGATAGACAAGGATAAACGGTAAATTCAACAAGATTTGTTCACGAAATGTCAACCTGTTCTCATAACCTCGAATGTCGGTGTTTAAAAATCTTTGAATAAAAAACTAACAGGAAGGAGCATTCCGAACTACTCTTCAGAGACGAAATCGGCCATGTTGAACCTCCACGTATGACTCTTCGTTAGTTTGGTGGTTCCGTGTTCATGTGATTCGTCGTTTGCCGTTAATAAAATATTGTGTATCTTGTGGTTGTTCTCTAACATCAAAACATAAAACTTGTGGTGTAACATTTCACAGGTAAGTGTTTGTAATCCTAATTAAATGTTTAAAAATAAAAAATTTATTCGAATGACATTTAGGTTAACATGCGAATCACAACATATTACATAGGCGTAGCTTAGGGTAACATTATTATCGTTTTGTGTTAATATTAGATGTAATTAGAAATTGGGGTTTCAGCTGGTCATTAAGATTAATATTATTATTCTGAGATATTTGCTCAAGATTATTATAAATTTGAAATTTTTGTGAAAGAATATATACTTTATAATTAAACACTTGTGGACAAAAACTAAAATTAACTAAAAACTACTAAATAATAGATAATTAGTAGATTACATAATTCATTCATTATATTAGCAAAAGTGCTGTGGCAGATGAAAAAATTCGCAGTATGTACACTAAATTGATTTTATTTAAAGGCCAATAAATAATTGTATAACTGAAAATGTCTGCGTTTACGAAAAACTTTT